TGGAGGTGCAAAATACTGGGGGGGGGGGGGGGGGAATTTGTATTGTGGGAATATTTATAATATTGGAAATTTCTCCATTGTGAGACAAATAAAGGTTTTCTTATCTTCTTATCTTATTTGGCTATACAGTACTAAAGTGTCCACATTTTCTCGAGATAAAAAGTCGTAATCTTACGAGAATAACGTTTTACTTTTGCAAGAAAAAGTCTGAAGATGACACCGGTCAACAAATTCTACATTTTTTAATTAAAGCTGCAAGGAAACCTTTTGAGATTCTTTTTTTCTGAACCATGAGGGCAAAATTTTGGAAATTGCCCATCCGTGGTATGAAGTAATATTCATGAACTGATGGTTCAGTTCAGCAACAGAGGGTTTTTTTTGGGAGCTATAAATGACAACATATGGAAAAATCTGTATTGCACAAGTTTTAAAGGCCACACTTAAAATATATATAATGAAAATAACTTCAAAACCTGGTGTGCAAGGAAAAAGGAACCGTTTTTTTTAAATGAGCATCAAAAATTTGCTGTGGAATATACACACACACACACACACACACACACACACTTATGGGATTTTTTTTAATTAAAAAAGACTATTCATACATTAATATGATGATACATCATAAACTTACAGAACTTTGAATTGATTTAACGTGTGGTAGTTTTTTTCTTCATGTTGGAGATTTTCATCTGTTGTTGGTTGGAATGTCTTCCCAGCATTAAATGAGTGTTGCCTGTATGAACTTGTATGTGTTGGTTACAATTTTGCTCAGTCATCACCGCTCGAAGGAATATGACATTGATATGATGTCGTTTCTTTTCTCGGCAGGTACATTTTGGCCAGTTTCTACACAAAGTACGACGCGACGCATTTCTTGATCAACACATGCTCCCTTCTTAGTGTCCTTTTGCCAAAGTTGCCACAGTTCCATGGAGTGCGAATATTTGGAATCAACAAATACTGACAAATGAACGCTGGAATGTGACGAATACAAACACTGGAATTTCACTGTTTTTTTTTTTTGGGGGGGGTGTTTTTTCTTGCGTTATTTCCTCTTACGTCTGGAAGCTCTTTGTACTGTATACATGTTGAAAATACTGTGCACTATTATCAGTGGGCTTTTATTCAATGACATGATTTGCTCTTGCTGTGGACAAAGCAACACTTTTAACCTGCAGCAGCTTTGCCCATTATTTGAGGAGTATCAGTTACTGGACCACTCTTTTCCCTTCTTTTTGGGGGGTTTCCCTCATTATGGTTTTAGACAGCTTTTATCTAAAACCAAAATGAGGACTTTATGTCTGCATCAGGACTGGCCGCAAGTCTGTAAAGTTTAGGCTATTAATTAATGTGAATAGTTTCTTTTCATTGTGAGATTCCACCTTTTCATGTGCGTGTTTTTGTGAACTATTCTGGTTTGCATTTTACATGAAGGCAATAAATATTTGCTTTGCCTAAAATGAGAATTGAATTACTGAACCCCCAGTTATAAGTGCATAAACAATGTAGAGTAACCATAACCTCATTTCAGTATTATTAGATATACACAATTGCTTCTCCATTTGATAGTTATTACAAAGCGATTCCACAATTTTTGGGGTATTGTGACCATTTTTCCACACTTTTGGCAAAGAAGAAATATATGACAATACAGTGCTTTGAATTTGGGATTTCATGTCTTTATCTTACAGTCGTGGTTCTTAAACATGTGACACCGAGTAGACATGAACACAGTAGAGTAGTAGCCTTAAGTGTTCACGTCACAACTGAGTTGATGTCTACGTTTGGTCCTGTGATGCTGGCAATGCAAGCCCAATTTTTGCATTTAGGTCCCTTTTAAAAAGTGTTTTTGACAGTGGGCAACTTAAAGGCCTTCATCTGCATACAGTTCAAGTATTCAGAGTTCTTTGCCAAAAAGTGTCTCTTGACAAACCAAGTGACTTTGATCTGGTGTTATTGGAGACTTGAGACTGTTAAATGATCCGTCCAGGCTGAGCAAACGTTCACCCAGATAAAATCACACTTAGAAAAGATTGACCTGTTTTATTTCACAAGTGACAGAAGGACTAAGCGTTCCAAAGACCCAACTATTTTTTGTATAAACATTAAAAAAAGTATTTCCCAGAAAGTACAGTCCCAAATGTCTTGGGCATTGTTCTGATGAGCCTTTTTCACAGTAGTCAATATGACTTGTAAAACATGAATGGGACTCGGTAGGTTCACACAAATGAAAACATGAAACTTGGTCAAGGAGTCCTGCGTGATCGGTCAACCAACTGCATTTTATGACATCCTATACGGTTAGGATAAGGGTGCATTATTATTGTTTTGTTTTTTTAAATCTGAGTCACTGAAAGTGTCCAACTACCAGACTAATACTGGTGGCTTCCGTCTGTTCAGCATCGTCCATTGACAAGAAAGTAGCCTGCGAGCTAGCAAACAACCAAATGACAAACCTCTCGGAATTTTCACATTTATTGATCGTTCATCCTTGGTGGGGGGCTGCAATATACTTATTGGCCTTCTAGTTTTCATGCTCAATGTGGTATAGCAAAAAAAATATATAAAAATCTAACAGTGGCCTGAGGCTTTTGCATGGTGCTATATATACCTGTACGATTAAAAACAAAGAAGGTGTCTGCGCTCCTTTAGGGTTTCGTGGCAGTCGATTGGAGCAAAGACCCCACGACAGTAAATTCACCAAACCGTGTGTTCTTTTGTACATTCACATCTGGCAACCAATCGCCCTTTGTCAGTCAACTTCATTGCGCACAAACATGACCTTGTGTGGCTGGTGATACTCAAGGACTTGACTCACAAGCGCCAGCGTTAGAGCGCCAGAGAGCCGTCATAGTTTCCAAACGGCGTCTGCTCTGGCTCGCTCTGGTTTTGGCACAGGCTGGATGAATCTTCCTCGTCATCCGTGTCGAAAAAGTCCTTCCAGCCGTATTCCTGCGCATGCACCGACACCTCGTTCGCCATCAGGTGGGAGGAGCCCTCTATGAAATCGGCAAACCTGGACATTGGACAGATCACATCCACCTATAAGTAGCACTGCTTGGAGGTGGGGATGCATTTTATGCATAATTTGGACGAAAACCAGAGTTCCATGTTAATCCAGTTTAATTTTTTAAATGTTATTTTTGGTTAGGGGGTGTAAAAACGTTTTATATATATACACACACACACACACACACACACACACACACACACACACACACACACACACACAGAGTATTATCAAATAAAAGCGAGCACCTCTTGGGCGACTGTAGCCTGCTGACAGCTTTCCAGGGGCTGCACTCCCTGCTGTTGCAGTACTTGCGCAACTCATCCAGCGCTCGCAGCGTCTCCTCCTCTCCTTGCTTGCGATACTCCTCTTCGGTCAAGAGGCGGCGCTTCTCCGGCTTCCAGTGAACATAATGGCGGATTTTTCTGGACAACAACAACAAGGTAAACTTCATTTGGAAGATCATGAGTACTTTGATGCAGTTGGTGATGTGAGTGTAAATAAATGGGCGATCGCATGCGGAGTACCCCAAGGGTCCACTCTAGGGCTGCTTCTACTCAACAGGGAACATGCTGCCACTAGCTCAGATCATAAAACATGACGTCTTATCATGCTTACTGTATGCAAACAACACACAGATCTACATCTGAGTCACCATGTCGCCTTACTCTCTCTGGTTGAATGCAGCGATCATATCAATTAGTGGATGAGTTCAAACATTCTCCAGCTCAGTGCACAAAGGACAAGTCATTGTTTTCTACCCTCAACCTGAAGAGTAAAAGGTCCGTGCTCAACTGGGCGTGTCATTGACAGCTACAAGTCAGGTGAAAATTTTAGGTGAGATTAATGGCAAGGACCTGTATTTTAAAAACTGTGACTAAGTCTGCTCTTTAGCTCTTGGGAAACAGCTTCAAAATCAAAGATCATCTGTCCAAACATGACACAGTTAAATTATTGTTCCTTTTCAGTAGATTGTAACAGCGTTTACAGGTCTGAACAGATAAAAGAAAATCAATCCAACAGCTGCAGCTGAGTCAGAATGTAGCCACTCCAGTTTTTACTGGTACCACACAACCTAAAATCTCCAAAACCGGCTTGCTATGAGTCAAAGAACAGACTTTAAAATCTCACTGTGAGTCTAAAAAGCTTTGTATGACCTTGGAATGAAATATCTTCATGACTTTTAGATTCTTTTGAGATTTCTGCACCCTGGGGTTATCCGGTGTCAGCCTATTGAGTGTTTCCAAAAGCACAATTTAACAGTGTTGCAGCATTGTATTTCTGTACTCTTCAACTATGGGGGGAATAACCTTCCCAAATATCTGAAAATCTGCTCATACTTGTAATATTGCATTTGGCGTGAAAATGTTACCATTCGCTGCTGCTGTTTCATAAATCCCAACTATTATTTCACCACTTTGCTTTTATTTGGTCACTTTTAACATGTTTTGTGACCTCACTTGTCCTGATTTCATGCAGCATCTTGTGATAGCGCTCACCTTATTGCGATGACAGCCATCATGATGGGGTACTCCAGATTCTTGGCAAAAACGGCTGCCACAATGATGGCAAAGGAAACTTGCTGAATTTGAATTCCCATGTAAATGAGGAGCAGGCCCACCAACTGCAGCGACCACGACAGGATGTTGATGCTTTTATCGTCCACCAGAGGGCCATAGCGGTAACACACGGCAAAACTAACAAAGCCAACTACACCCATATAACCTGCAGGGTGGAAAAAAGATAAGCCTGAGTTGCACAGCTCTACGAAACCTACTAAAAGTCGGACAATTCGGTTTGCTTAAGATTTTCATAATAGTGGACTAAAATGTGTTTGGGGAAATATTTTAAATGTTATGTATATTATACATATTTTAACATAGTCCTAATTAAACCCCACATCTTAATTTTCCCTCCATCTGAAATTCCCATGGAAATTAATCAGAAATTAAATCTATTGGAAATTTTCCACCACTTTGCAACCCCTAACCGTAATTTTACTTAAAGTGTTCTTCCATGTGTTCCATGTTCTTCCACACGGTTCAATTACTGCACTCCCACTACATCGCTTGATCGCACTTTTTCATAGCCGATAGTGAAACCAGTACTGTAGCCTCGAGCATCGGTCGATACTGATCCAATACAGATCTGATTCTTTTTGTCACTCCAAATGGTGTCAATACAGTAATCCCTCGCTATAACACGTCATTTTTCACGGCTCTGCTGTTTTACAGATTTTATTCGTGCATTTTTTTTTTTTTTAACAGTGCATTGTGTTCTGCATCCTCATTGGCTAAGGGACTGTAGACTGATGTGAACAGTCTCCACGCCTCATGTACAGCTGTACAGCTTGCCAAATGTTCTTCATGACAAAACCCACAATGTCGACGAATCATTCTGCACAGTATTTCTAAAACCTGTCAGTTGTTTGTAAAAAAACATTTATATTTTTGTATTATTTTTAAATGCTTGGGCCTGAAAAAAAGTTTAATCTTTGGTTTCATTCAATACAGTATTGTATACGTAATAATTGTTAAAAATATAGATGACTACTTCACGAATTTCACTTATCACAGGTTCTTTTTGGAACACAACCCCCGCGATAAACGAGGGATTACTGTAATACGTGCACAGGCCTGTCATGATAAATTTTTTTCCCCAGACGATAAGATTTTCCCAGAAAGTATACTGTCTGCCTATAAAGAGCAAAATCAGAGGAACTGATCATTTTGCGTTGGTCCCCTCATATTTTCCATAGATGTTCACTTATTGTGGGTGGGTACGCCCCACGATGAAAGGGCGAAGACTGTATTACCTGACCGATTTGCATGTACCTAAAGCCACAGGCCAATGTTCTCGAAGGATGACGTTCAGGTTCCTGCAGACAAGCTGGATGGCGTACACAGAGAAGGACCAGCCACCGACAATCAGTATGTAAAAAGGGCTTTTCTGTGGAAACATAAGGGGTAGATGCGTTTTTTTAGAGTGACGTGCTTACTTACTGCTCTTTTAGAAGGCCGCACAACGCTACCCTTGGCAAAAGACGAGCCAGGATAAAAAAGAGAACAGCCAGGGAGGCGATCATTCCTATGCCCGTGCCGGCTGAATAGAAAAAAACTTGACTCCTATTGTAAAAATAAACAAGTTAGGAATAAAACAGAACTGCCTCCTAAACCTCAATAACATACTCGCTTACGGAAATCAAATTACCTGCTCAGGGAGTCGGCAAAAACAAATAAAGTGACTCCGAGGAGGACAACCAAAAACAGGTAGATGTCTAACTCTGAAAGACAATACAATCATCATGTTGGCGCAATATAATTCACCTTCCGACATAAAACATGGACATTATCGTGACGTACTGCGGAGCGGCTTGACCGTGTATTTGGTATTATTGCTGGGCTTGATTTTGAAACACGTCTTCTTCCTCAACAGGTCGATGTTGATGGTGGTTTCATTTTGGCCTTCGCGCAGCAAACTGTGCAGCCAGTTCCACACGCTGAAGCGTTCCAGCTGCTGCAGGTCCTCCTCACTTTGCACCACCTCCAATATGAACACCTTTGAACTCCAAATTCGGACCTGGCAAATCATGATGGTGCCAAGTGACTTGAATGAAAGGTGTTCAATTGCCTTTTGTGAAATACAAACGAGTCGTTTTCAGAGGGACAGGGCATAACCGATGTGCCTCAGGTCTGCAGAACTGACCTTAGTGGAGGTTCCGAGGGTTAAGCGGAGCCTCAGAGAGGATCGAGCCTTTTCCGTTGCCGGTCGGTCCTTTTATGGGAAATGTTAGGTAAGCACTCTCCCTGTCCAGTTTTTAAATTCCTTTGAAGACATCTTTATCCTTTGGCTTCTGACCCATCATGAGACTGACACTGTTCTATTGTTTTCTGTTGTTTCCTGTACATGTGTTAGTCTCACTAATTTGTATTTAACTGTTTTCACTTTCTTCTGTTGTTGTATTGTTATTTGTTACAGCTGCAGCTGTTGTGAAATGTGCTGTATAGAGTTGTCTAAAGTTGTATAAAGCATCAGTTAGCATGGTTGGTGCACATTTTTGGATTTGAAAATTCCTCTGCTGAAAAAGTAAATACTAAACAACAAAGTATTGTAACACAGTCAAATCTTCTGCCTGTATTTCAAATCTTTTTGGTTCTAAGCGTTAAGAAGCTATTTTAGTCAATGGATTTTTTTATTTCATTAATTGGCCGTCTAATCGGTTTTCTGTTTTTTTTTCTCTGCAGAATATCATGCAAGAAAAAAAAATCCCAATCATTATGGCCCTTATGTTAAAACAATGATCATTTGACAATAAATTTCGTATTGCTCATATAACCAACCTGAATTGTCGTCCAGGTTTGCCTCCAGTTGGGTACGATGGAGTTAGTGTAGCAGAACAGGTTGGAGGCCGATAGTTCGTACTTCTCTCCATCCTTGAGCTCGATGATGGGAGGCTTGTTAACTGGATTACAAGAGCACAAACATTCATTTCCCATAAAAGGACATCAACAGTACATTGTGAAAGCATGAAAGTCAATATTGGTTTGTCCACCGTTGGCTGGCTGTCGGCAGCGACCACTCAACAAGCTACACACTTAATGGTACAACCTGAAAAGTGATCGAACTACTCGACTCACGTTATTTTCTTTATCGCTACATCAATACTGATAATGTACAACAGTCCTAATTTATACACGGCTTTGACATTTTCACATTGACCGAGTAAATACACAATACTCAGACAATATTCCCAAACTTTGCAGTTGACAAACGGCTATCAAAAACATTGACAGAGAATATAATATCATTTCAAATCCATATAATACTCTAAATGATACACTTCATTTATCTGGAATTCTGCCAAATGTCATGCAAATTAATTGATTCACACACACACACACACACACACACACACACATTTTAGACCCTCATCCCTGGCCAAACACACCACCAAACATAACAGCCATGTTTATTTGTAATGCTCCTTCAACCAGTATGATAGCCCAAATTGTCCGTCGCTTCCAGTGCTAATTTCATGAATGTTAACACCTTCAAATGTCTCTCTCAAGTGTGCTATATTTAATTCTTACTATGTATTTCCACAATTGTATTATATTGTATAATTTATGTTGTGTTTGTTAACTCTCAACTATAAATGTATTTTCTCTCTGTACATTGTAGGACTGCAACTAATGATTATTTTAATAATTGATTCATCTGATTATTTTGTCAAATAATTGGTGAATCTGACTTTTTAAATTTTTGATTTCCATCCCTTTATTTAAAAAACAGATTATATATTGAGAGCGCACAAAATGCACAAACATAAATTAATTAATATTAAGCTACTGATTTGCTGCATAACGTGTCAGAAAAAAGGGCTTTTTTTTCAAAAGCAAATCAAATGTTTGCAAATGTTTTATTTGATTCAACACGAGAGTAAATCTTCTTACCGGTATACGAGTATTACAGAAAGCGCAGAATACTTTATTTACTATTCAGAGGCTGAAACTCCAAAGATTTGGACACTTTTTAAATTTAACTGGGTCAATCGATGATCAAAACGGATGATCAATTGATTAGATAATTGATTCGTTGTTGATTAATCAATTAATAGTTACATCTTGAGTATGCTTTGTGTGCCAAATGATTTCATTTAAGTGTATCCATCCATCAATCCATCCATTTTCTGTTCCTCTTTATCCTCACAAGGGTCGCGGGGGTGCTGGAGCCTATCCCAGCTGTCTTCAGGCAGTAGGCGGGGTACACCCTGAACTGGTTGCCAGTCAATCGCAGGGCACACAGAGGCAAACAAGCATCCATGCTCATACTCACACCAAGGGACAATTTGGAGTGTTCAATCAGCCTGCCATGCATGTTTTTGGAATGCGGGAGGAAACCGGAGTACCCAGAGAAAACCCATGCAGGCACGGGGAAACATGCAAACTACACACAGGGAGGCCGGAGCTGGAATTGAACCCGGTACCTCTGCACTGTGAGGTTGACGCGCTAACCACTGGACCACCGGGCCGCCCACTTTGAATGTATTTAATTTTAAACAATGACATCATTTTTGTTGTCAGTTTCTGTATTTAGCAAGATATACAATGATATCAAACTTTTGAAAACAGGATGGAAGTTTGAATCTCAGAATATATCAAAAAGGGCACACCAAAAATCCTGACCCCTGTTGACTAGTGAGACGATGGCCAGAAATTGGTGCGTTTTCACTGTTTTTAAAGAGTCAATTCATATATATATAAATAAACAGGAAATCAGTACTGTACTTATACCACTTGAATCGTATTTAAAAGATCCGTCTCATAATCCCGGTTTTGTGTCAATCAATTAATTAATCTGTGGAATGTTACACACGGACCCACTGTGAGGGGGAAATCTAGCAATGGGCTAGATTAGAAAAATCTTTTCATTCAACAATAGAATGTTACATACTACAGAATTTTCGTCGATCAATAAAAGTAAGTTATCGATCAATCATATAAAAACACAGGTCTAGTCGTGTGTTGTTTTCATAAAACATCTGATGTCAATGTAATGAACCTGTACAGTTTGTGTGGTGTCCATGATCAAGCACAAGCTAATTTGCGCCAAGAGGCTAAACAACGACAGTCTCGTGCCGCATTGCTCTATGTAAGGTATACGTGTGTGCGTGTGCGTCTAAATACGTCGTTAAGTCACATATTACCTGTAGCCTGTGACGAGGTTACAGCTAAACAAGACAACAGCACCGTTAAAACTAAGGATTGAGCTCCTATTGTGAATATTCGGTTTCGTTCGTTCATGCATCCCGCCATGATGATAGCACCAGTTCACTGTCTTCAGTCCCGCCCTTTCCTCGTTGGATTCGTTGCGTCATAGGAAATACAGCCAATCACACTGGCTGAGCTTTTGTTGTTGTAGTTTTTTTTATAAAACTTTATTGATCATTGTAGCATATTGGTCACGTGTTTTAGATGGTTACTGTCGTGTTTAAAACAAAGAATTTTAAAACGTTTTAAATCCCTTCAGTTCTAGTGCGTAGTCTATAAGGGCATTCCGGAATTGGAGGACATTTTCTATGTGTGCTTGTGTGTGTGCGTGTGTGTCTGTACGCGCGTGAGGAGTGCCTGGGCATCAGTTGTAGCCAATAGCAGCTCTTGAATGAACGAGCATTCTGGTAATAATAGCAAGTAAAGCACATGACTGACGGTGTGTTATCCTTGACCACATACGATGGCATTGCAGTATGATTTTTGTTGATGTGATCCTTCTGATTGTTATATTGCTTACAAGCAATTTTTAAACAGTCCTAATTCTGCTCTGAAGTTTCCTCTCCCAACATACACACAACCCTGTTATTGAAACCTTACGAGCCATTATGTAAAGTAGACGGTAGAGGAAGGAATTAAAAAAGTAAGCAACACCCTGCAAAAGTGCAGCAAGCCAATATTCAAACACAGAAATCTTCAGCCACTGGACAACCCACTCTTACCAAGTGAGGTGCAGCAGCAAACAGCTGGTTACCAGCTTTCTTTCATCAGCTCCTGCCAAGGCCCCAGCAACATGCTGGCCCTGTTAGCCAGTTGAGGCTGAGTTCGTAGAGTGGGTTACCCAGTGACTAAAGGTTCAGCTGTTGGAATCTTGGCTGTTTTGTTGTGCTTTTGATACTGGTCTTGCACCAAAACACAACAAAACCATGCTGGTTTCTGCTGTTTTTTTTTTTTTTTGTTTTGTTTGTTTCCAAGCAGGGACACCTTTCAGTGGTACTAGGGCCTGTTGCTTTTCAAAGAAAAGTACTGTATTTTTTTAACCCCATAAACAATAATTTGTATTTTTTTTCATGTTGATTTAATTGAAAACAGGACAAATAAAAAATAGGAATGTTTACAAATCATCATTCAAATAATTGTCCAAAAAGTTTGAGGTTTCTATGTCACGAGACTATTTCTCAGAAGTTATTAGTCAACAATTTAAAGGTGTTGCTCATCATGCTTGAATGGATGAAACACTTCGCTGAGAGTTGAGGTTCCTGGCTGAACAATCTGTCATGCAAAATCATCATGAATAAATATTAGTGGTGGAACAGGTGTCTCACAGCAAGCCTCGTTTGTTTATTCTGCTACAGTACAACAATATAAACCAGAAAAAACACAAGAATGTGTCATAAATGTGGTTTAGCCCTGTATTGCCTGACCCATCAAGGAATAGCCAGAAAAATATGATTTTTGGGAACTGAGATGTTCATTAAAACCCTTATAACAAAATCCACAAAAATATTTTTGCCATATCACGTTGTTTTAGATATTTGTCATATCACATTGATAAGCATTATGTAGATTACATCTGAAAATGATCATTTGGGGAAAACTCTGACATTGGGGGTACAGATACTGAACAGCCCATATCAGGGGTTCGGTATCCCCATACTTGCGAATTAACCCCCTGCCCCCTCCCCACCTCCACAGAACTCCCAGATGAACATGGTCGAGCGCCATGTAGGCTGTTTGGGTGAACTCCCATGGAACCTCAAGGACCCTGCTGAGGTTGTAGAGCAGGTCAACTGTACCACAGCCAAGGCGAAAATCATTACTGCTCCTCCGGAAACGCAGATTCGACTTCCTAATAGACCCTCCTATCAACCAGCCTTGAAGAGACCTTACCAAGTGAGGCTGAGGACTGTGATAATGACTTTTAGTTGGAACACAAAAAGAAGAAACGACCTCCCCGCTCTGCCAATCCCTAGGCACAGACCCTGATGTCCATGCAATGTTGTAGGGACGTGTCAACCAAGACAGCCCCGTACCATCAGAGACTTTAGGAACTCTCGGCAGATCTCATCTACCCCTGCAGCCTTGTCAAAAAGAAGCTTTTCACCATGGTGACTTCAACCCCAGAGAGAGAGGAACCCAACTCAACTCCTCAAAAGAATGTGTGTCTGTAGAATAGAGGAGGTCTTGGAAGTATTTTCTGCACTTTGAGTTCTAATTTCACTGCTGAGTTTAAATTAATGTTGACAGTTTTGCATATCAACTTCAAATGTTGATCAAACTTAATTTAGGGGTCCAAAGTGACATCTACAAATGTCAATTCATCCAATTGGTCTCCAATCCCCTCCAGAACTATCAGAACAACAAGGTCAATTTCTTTGTTTTTACAGTATACTGAAACCCTCTGGGGTTCAGAAGATGAATGTGAGAAAAACCCCATCAGAAATCCAGGTTTATGTCATGGTCTTTACATCTAGATGTGTAAAATAACTCAGGAGAAAACACCTTTTGTTTGAAGACACCCACTTTTCAAGTGAGCAAAGCTATTGGAACAGACATTATTAAATTAACTCGACTCACAACTTTATGTAGCGGGTTCGTGACAGCTGCAGCTGTAACACAGCGCTTTACAGAAAACATGACATAAAACATTAATCTGAATAAAATCATCACAAACCAACATCCCCCCACCACCCCACACATATTTCTTTCCACTTTATTGTTTGAAGTGATAATAGATAAAAGATGAGCAATTTAAAATCTCCTTTCATCAGTGAATCGGAGACCTCATGATCCAAGTGGATTTGGTGGCCAACCATTACTTCTGATAGTGTGGTTTATTACAATGAATTTCCATCCACACAACCGAGTCACTGTTTGGGAGGAGATGACTTTTTAAAATTGCGAAAAGAGCAAAGTCCCTTGAACGTTACATTGAGTGATTGTTGATTTGACAAGGAGTCCTTGAATGTGTCACGTGAGTTTAGGTCAATCTGTATTGGAGTTAGAGGCGAAGGAGGGCAGCCGTCATCGTCATCGGGTTCTCTTCGTCACTTGGGGCGGGACTAGCAAAGAGCAAGGACAAACGCAACTTTTCCTAAACTTCAGCGCTTTTCACTGCGTGTCCTCCGTCCACGGAATTTACTCAGCCCTAAAAGGTAGGCCATAAAAATTCTACTAAGGTGACTCCCCCTTGCGAAAGATTCTCGTGAAACGTATACTGCATTCCTCCTTTTATTTTACTAAAGCGCGACGCCTTAATGATCCTCCCAATTTGATTTAAAAAAAAGCTTCCAAGCTGTTGCTAAACATGGATGACTCGCTCCGTCCACACGTCGGCTTCAAATTGACCAGACAACTCTAGTACAAATTCAATCAGGCTACTAAATGGCTTCATTCGATGTCATTTAGCCGCCGGACAAAGCTGGCTTTGTCGTTGTCGCTGGCGGCGGTGTTTGTTGCCAGTTAACGGAACGAAGCAGGCTGAATTCATCCCCAGCGGGGAGAGGTTCTGCTCGGGTCCTTTGCTTGGATGTCAGGGCTTACGAAATTCAAAGTTGAGCTATTTTTAGTGACTTTAGAACTCTTGTTAAAGGGAGTACTCTTAGAAATGGATCTGTCGCTCTTCCTCTAACTTCTCCAAACTGAATTTTTCTGTTAGCACGTTTGGGGAAATGACTCAGATGTTCTTGCTTGGGAAGCAGCTGCGACTCCCACACTCTTACTGTCGTTGGGAGGGGAAGAAAAAAATGAAATAAATGTATTTTATTTCGCCCTCTTAGTTGATCCAGGAAGCTGATCCGCTTCAACCATGACTCTCGAGGGGGGAATGAAATGCGTCAAGTTCTTGCTCTTCTTCTTCAACTTCATCTTCTGGGTGAGTCTCTGCTTTTTTTAAGTAATTTACAGGTCGCGAATGTAAAAGGACAATTTGAGTTGTTCCGATTTCCGACCACTTGATTGGAAATCGGGTCGCAAACGTAAATTCCAGATGATCGGAATCAAGTGAAAAAGATCGGATTTTTCAAATATTCTTTTCGTTGACCAAACCAGGAAAACGTGGTTGGTTTTTTTTCCCCTCTGTGTTTGTCACAATAACGAACAAGACACCGGGTCACGAACTTCTGGGTGAGTCTCTGCAAACAAGCAAACAAGCAAACAAACAAACAAACAAACAAACAAACAAACTTCATGGCTGGGGTCTTTGGACAATTGTCAAATACAGCTGTATAATTTATGTGTACAAATATGATATTGCTGGCATGGAACCCAGCCACAATTTGGTAAATCGAAAATGTTTAAAATGGCTTGCTGTCTTTGATGATGCAATGTTAATAGTTGAACAAACATGCTGCTTTGGGGTCTCCTGAAAAATAATAATTTTGGTGGTACAAGGATCCCGCCTAACACCAGCGGCTCGGCTCAGTTGTAGAGTAGGCGTGCCTCCCAAACCAGAGGTTGGGTTTTTTTTTTTTTCTATAGCTGTATAGTGTTTATCAAAAGGAAACAGGAGGGTTCATGTGAATAACACTTGATCATTGTGGTGACTGCAAGAGAGCAGGAAGTAGCACAAAAATTAAGAGGAAAAAAAATACAATACAAATCTTTTTATATCATAACATTTTTTTGAAAAACATGTAAAACACACATAGGAAAGCATACAGAGAACAAACAGGCATCAAAATGAATCACCGCCCTTGACTCCATGTTATTTTGGTCTTGTGACTCAGAAGAGCCTCTGTACTTTTGTATAAAATGAAATCACCATGAATGTACCGCCTGACTTGACCAGCTGTTCAAAAAGTTTGATTTAAAAGAAACACAGAGTCCAAGCACATAAATCACACAGTAGGTTTATCTGAAAATGTGTGTGTGTGTTAAGCGCTTTACAGCAAGTGCTGATGATGGAATGTGAATCTTATGACCAGATTGTCAAGTGTGTAATGGCGTCATGTGACTTTTTTTTCTTTCTCCGCCAGCGACATGGAAATGCTTTTAGGTCAGTTGTAGTATGACAGGAAAAAGGAAGCTGTCAATGACAAAGCGGATTTTATTTTTTACACAGCTAGTTCGTTTCCCTCATGAAGTTCTTAAAAAAATCCTGAATTTCATAACATGTGAAGTGGTACTTCCTGAGCTCAGAGGGCATTTCAGTCATAGTTTGCCTCAAAAAAGAAAGTAATATTACAATTTAAGTTGTATATTTTTAAGGGGAAAATGAGAATGTCGCTTTTTTTTAAGAGGTTCAATAATAACTTTTCAAAAATAAAGTTATGCATTTTTTCCCCCCCAGAACAAACCAGTTTGATATTCTTCTGAGGATGTCTTATTTTATACTAAATAAGAAAAGTCCTCTTTCTGTGGAAAAAAAGTCATTGTATTTTGTTGCTTATTTAGGGAGATATTTTTGACAATAAAGGCATATTTCCTAGTTAAAAAGCTGTACTGTTAAGTTTTTTTTCCAATAAACAAATGGTATATTTTCGGGAAAATAAATTATAAGATGACAGGAATAAAATAAAATATGGTCTGATTAAAGGTAGCATTGTGATATTAAAATCATTTTCTTGAGAAACCAGTTGAGGGGAAAAAAAAAACTGTCCTCCCAGAACAAAATTACACACAATTGTATGTGCACTGTTATTGCTATGAAAACGAAGAGGTATTTTTTTTTTCAAAAAAATCATAATAATAATTAAATATTTAGGTGAAAACAAATTCACATTTTGTCAGCAAACAAGGCAAATATTCAGGAAAAAGTGTCAATATTTTCTCTTAGATCAAAACATTGACTTATTCCAAGAATAAATACACATTTACTTGTGCAACAGAAGAAATTTCCCAAGATAAATGGCACAATTTGATATGAAGCTTTTTTTGACTGGGCTGTGTGTCAGGTGATGCGCGTCAAGTGTTTATCCCGAGCAGGAATTGGAAACGCGATGTTACAGCGGGTGTGCTTAAAACATTTTTTTCCCCCCAGCAACATTTCCTTGAATGACATTCGTACACTCTTGTTTAAAGGGAACATGCAGTATATCCTGGAAATATCACTTGAATTTCTTGGATACAAATAGCTGCGTCTCGAGTGTGTTTGTTGGGTACACAATTGAGTGTTTACAACAGTCATTGTTTACTCTGAAATTGTTGACGCAGTTGGGGCTAGCAGTGGAAGTTGCTACTTTTATGTTGGGTTATATGTCTGCTGCTTGCACCACATTCACTTTGTTGCCAACAAATTGACAGGGCAATTCACAGGCTGGTGATGACGAGAGTTGGGGAACCCGAATAGCACGACTTGACTTGAGTCAGAGTGAAGTTGCCAATTTTCGGACTTGACACGCTTGTCTAAAATTGATGGAAGACTTGACTTGAACTGCAGTCTAGTTGGTTTACGTGGGGGTGGGGGGGGGTCTAGATTTTCCAAGTACTGTGCCATTTTCTACCTGGTAAGCTACAAGTCTGATTTGAAGAATTCTGCTTTTGGCATCGGAAGAAATGGAACGACAAAGTGCAAGTTAGCAATTAGGAAAGAGGCACGACAACTAACTTCATCTATCCCAATAATTAAGAAACAGATGAATCCAATTGATTTCTATAAATCTCTGCCAGTGTTTACATTTTCCAATGGTCACTTCTATAATATTTCTAGAAAATCACAATGCGCCATCACTGCTAAACTATTTTTAGAACAGGCCAGTGGGCTACTCAAGAGGTCCTTGGGGGGCTTTTTGGTGCCCACGGGCACCAAATTGGGGACCCCTGGATGAGGCAGTCGCAGAAATTGATGACTCACAAGCTCACATTGAGCTATTTGATTCATGGACGCCCTGCAACGACATCGTGAACCTGCGTAGGCTTTTCAGGCTGCACATACATTATATTGTACGGAAGCATTTTTATTAAACCATAAGAAGCGGTTTATCCTGGCAACTGTAGTTATATTGTAATAATACAAAGGGAGCAAAGGAGAGAAGGTGGATATTTCTGCGGGTGTATTCTCCCTTCACTGACTTCGACTGGTGCATTTTGGAGGCAGAGACTCTCAATGCTTGACTTTGTAGCCAAATTATGAATACAGGTGAATATTGTGAAACACAATATATACACTCCTCCCTCATTATATCATGTTTCACGTTTTGCCGGATCACTGCATTCCAGATTTTTTTTTTTTTTAAATATCGTCGTACTTAGATACTTTATTAATTCTGTTGGAGAAATCCATCTTAAATTATTGGCTATCTTGTGAAATTTTGAGGTGATTATTTTTTCCCCCTGGACTTCTGGTGCGGACTCGCCAAGCAATAAATGGGAGCCAGTCAAGAGGAAAGAGTGAATAAAAGACAATGGCCAAGGTTTGGGACAATTTCGCACCCAAACATAACAATCTTACATAACTGCACGTCTGCGGTAATGTAAACATCGTTTGCTATACGTAGCCTACCGTTTCGAGTTAAAACGGAGCACCATCCTTCCGCATGTGGTTAGGCTCAAGGACTGCTTGTACACATTCAGTCGCTGCTTGTGCATTTTCAGACAGTAACAAAATAAAATAAACACAAGTGCATTCTTATACGATCTGCAAGTGACCTCAACTGACGTTGTCACTGAACACCAGAGGGGCTAAGGTATAGCCTGTCAAGAGCCAGTCAGTTCAACATTATCAATCGCAGAGTTTTGAAAGTGACACACGTTCAACATCACAGATACTACAGTGTAGAATGTGGACAAAATGGACAAAAATACCTGCAAGTCACATGCAGATAATATTGGTATTTTGCATAAGGCTTTCAAATGTGGATATAAATAATAAAATAAATGTATGGTGGCTACTTGGTGGATATTGTTTAATGCAAGGGTGGTCTTGAACTGATATATGAGGGATTAGCTTTGCCCTCTATTTGTGCAGCTTGACAGACTTTTGTTGTGAAAGCTCATGTGATACAACACGGCATTTTCAAATGGCCGTTATATCTGCAACGCCGTTCGCATGCCTTTTAAAATGTCACATTGGATTGAAACTAGTTGGGGATGGTCGGCCGCTCATGAAAAGTAGTTGCTGAAATCTGCATACTGCGTGACATTCACGACTCTCATGTGACTTACTCCCAAGTCCTGCCTCCACAAAGGAAATCTTGTAAATGTAATTCTTGATCATTGTCATAGTTCTGCAAAAGCATGTTAAGGACATATGAGGACACCTGGGAACTGTTTAAATTGTGTTTTAAAAAAAAAGTCTTCAATACTTAATGAAGTGGATATTTTGTTGCGACAACCTTTTACATAATACGTCATGTCCGAGACTGAAATGATTAATAGACATGTTGCAACTGAGTAAACGCCTCATCCTTATTTTATTCACGCTACAATTGTTCTGTGGGCTTGATGTCCTGTTTGCCATGTTTGCCTGGTCTGTTGGCTCCTTTGTTTTCCTACAGCAGCCATTAGCTACCTATTTGACTCGAGTTCAAATATTTACACTGCTAGCGAGTACTCAACAAAAGGAACAGCACACCGGGACAAGGCCTCTGAAATGCGACTGGTAAAATGACTTGCAGTATCATTTGTTTTCTTAATGTCCTTACTGTATATTTCATCACAGCCATTAACCGCTGTCTAGGTTTTCCCAGATGTTTTACTGGTCGGCATAGTCTTGAATGGCCAAAGGTTGACCACTTTTCCTGACAGTGAAAGGCTATGACTTTCCATCAAGGTTTGAAAGGAAGCTGAAGGATATCCCAACTGATTCAAGTCATTTGAGGAGTGCTTGAGCCCGTTTGACACGCGTTTGGCCAGTATTAGTGTTCAAGTTGGTGACACTTGTTTTCCTTTGAGATGTTTGGAAGACTTCGGCCCGCCACGAATGCTTACGTCACGTGGGTGTGTCATAAAATTACTGTAATGAGATTGTTCCTCGCAAATTATAAACGAATACAATGACTCAATCAAATTAGAGGTGTAAAAAATGAATTACTCAAGCAACCGCTGACTGATTATACTTCGACACATTTCTCCAAAACTATTTGCAAATCAGAGATGCAAGTAAACTTTTCTAGATTAATTTTTGACACGTTTTTTTTTCTCTCGAGTACATCAGGTTCTCATAATATAATAAATATGTAATATAATGAGGGATGCACATAAACCAACTTGGCACGGTTTTCAGATGAGCACCAGAGGTTGTTAAGTGCTCTTTATTTATCCCCCCCCCCCCATGCCCTCATGAGTGAACTTAGACTTATGGCATATGTGGGCAAGGTTTGTCGTTATGCGTAGATATGTCATTTTAAGATTACAAAATAAAGGTTGTTCTTTTTTTCCTCCCCCCAGTTTTTGTCGAATTACACTAATACAGTAATTACACAAAGGTACCCAGGCTACATAATGGCAGCTTATTAAACCAACAATTTACAGTTTTATAAAAATATATTACAGTACATTTATATTTAACTCAATTGAGTCGCATGGCCTGTACGAAAAATTAGTTGCCCTCCTCTGACTTGCAGTATGGGACCCTGTGATCAGTTACCTTACTTAGCCCAAGGTCTCTTGGTTAGCCGTCCCCCTTTCCTCTCTCGTCACTTTATGTTTTGCTTTTTCCCTGCACCAAGGACCACTTCCTAGGCATATTTTGACGGACCGTCGAAGCTGCGGCATAGCGACGTCGAGATAACCATCTAACCAGCAGCAGTCCTGCATTTGGGTTTGGCCGCCATCTCATGTTGAATGAAGCGTTCGCTGGGAGCCGGCCGCCACACCCATTGTTTATAGGCCACAACATAATGCACTGTGAGGATCAACTTCAAAATAAAACAAGTGACAGTACATTAATTGCTATGCCATATTCCCCCCCCCCCCCAAAAAAAAAGTTGACCCTTGGAAGTAATTGTTGTGGCTGCTAACTTGACTTTGAATTGAGGCTGGCATGACCAACACTTTGTATTCAGACTGCAGGCATGTGCGATTCCAATCAGATTCTTCCTCAACTCCGAGTACCCTGTTATTGGCAAGTGTCTGTGGGATCTCACCCTGTTCTGACTAGGCCACCTTATTGACCCCCATTTCTAACAGGTTGCAGGAGCAACGATGCAACACGTGTAGTGTTCGACATCTGCTGTATGCCCCACCCGTTGACATTACCTTTAGGCACATCAAGGCTGCTGTTTACACAGCCCCCCCACCCCCTATTTTGGGGAAAAGTAATAATCTTCATTTTTAACCTGTTACAGAAACATTGTTTTATTTATCACCATAGTGTGTTAGCCTTTAAATGACATGTAGTTGAAAATGAAGCATTCACAGAAGTGTAGTACAGTATTGCAAACTAGTAATTCTTCATTTGCATGAATCGATAGTAGCTCTCTGTCTCAAAAAGGTTGGTGAGAACATCACTCCCTGCCGTGTGTTATTGCTTTGTTTATTTGGTTTTGTTTAGTCATTACACAATAATAAACAATTGGTTACCAAGCAACAATGGAAAATGGTTTCGTTTTTTTTTTTTGCATTAGACTTTTGTTTTCAATTATCTGGTTGATAAATAGCATGTATGATTGCAGAAAGATTTGATTGCTTCAACTCTACAAAAAATGCACCATTATAAAAGTTCACTGTACGCTTGGTCATATTCTTGTAATTTATGCGGTTGTTCTACTTGCTAATTATGAAGGATAAATGCGATTTTACCCAATAGAAAACCAACCCAACTACAAATTGTATTTAGTAACAGGATTAGAGAGAAATTGCATGACCAGGAAGCTTTGGAGACGCTGCTGGGAGCAACGCTTTTCATGGAGAAATGTAATTTGATTTTCACATTTCTGCATGAAAACAGTCTCTTGTAAATGTTATGTCGGCGTTGTCACGTTTGTAGGGTTTATGATTTCCGGCTGGTGCATCTTGGTCGTGATCGTTTATCACCGCCAATCTGGTACAGAAAGCAGATGACTGGTAGTAGGGTAGTAGTTGAAGTTTCTTGAGACTTGGCTTCTGTCTTCAAGATGACTGTGACATTTGTCAGCGGACACAAACTTTTACATTTCAGAAAAGCTGAAAGTGGCAATTGCTCAAATCAGGTGGTTTTTGTGGGATCTTTTTTTTTTCATGCATTTACATAATTCCACATGTAATGTAATGTAATGTGTCCCCATTATTTTATTTTAATTTGCATTGTGCTTTTTAAAATAAAATGTGTAAATAGAAATTAATTAGTCATGTGGTATTTGATGGAATTATTAAAAAAAAGAGAGGAAAAAAAATCATTTTACAGAACTGCTGGCCCACAAGAACTGAGTGGACCGGTATAACAGACATGAACAAGGTAAATATTGTGTAATGTTAGTTTTTCCCAAGGGTGAACACATTATGGTGAAAGGGAAAAAAAAACAGAAGTGAGATAAAACGAGTGTGAATTCATTTTTGGGGGGAGCTCCATTAGGCTGTTTGACTTGAAGAGTGTTCAATTTACTGCTTGTGGTAACACTGGATCGTTACCACTTCAAATATCCCAAAGTGAAACGGCGTCCTGATTGGTTTTTCAGGATACACGCTGTCATTTAACCAATTTACTTGCTTTTGACTGGCAAACTTGAGATGCGAGCCCTATATAGTGGCAGTGAACTCATTTCAACTCACTTGACCATAAGCAGCAGTTTGGCAAACAGTAAAAAAACTCATTAAAAAAAAACGAGGCCTCAAGCTGTTTTTGGCCACTCCCAGTTCAAGTTTACTCTAAAACTAAACGGCAAACCATTGAGAATTACATGTTGTACCTGTGTATATATAAAACAACAACGTTTCCTTCAGGGTCTCCCACGAGCTTAATCCTAACATGATGAAACATTCCATTGAAATGCTATTGCTTACGATCGATAGTCATGGTTTTACAATCTTGAAAGTACCGGACATTTGAACACAAATGGGGAAATAACACATGAAGGCATTGTAGATAATGTGACACTCCTCTTGAGCATATTTGCTGCAAATCGGCCTCTGTTAAAAGGTGTGGGGAAGTGTTAAAAACATAATGTTGGTGTTGCATTGAAAGCACTCTGTATTAAAATAGGTTGTGTCGCCTAGGATGTAACGCTGATGCATTTTTAATGGCGTGTGACCTGGATTTGACTCATTTGCTGTCTTATTTGAAATTGACACCACACCCTTACGCCATTATTGAAATTGACTGGTTAGTGTCCAGACAATTTTCTTCAGCATCATTTTTCCTATCACTTGCAAAATGAAATGAAAGTAAGGTAGGCAAAATTTTCACAGGATGGGGGAAAAAAACGATCAGTGCACTACAATTTGCAAATAGCTAACAATATACCCTCATCTGCACATAAGCCTGCGAACAACTGTTGCCACTGCTAGGGGGCTAATATGGCTAACTGATCCACGACCTTACGTACTATTGTAAATAACTTTGTGTCATTAGTTCAGTGCTGAGAAAAAACATCATTAAGGGTCGGTAATAAGGATTTATCAATCAACTAAGCTCCTTGAGCTGGTCTGCTGCGGCCGCAACAGAAACAGGAGACAACTTTTTATTATATATTACATACATTTGTAACATTAGACATTAAATATCATGTTGGAATGAAAGTATACCTTTTTTGCTACTACTAGTAAACCTATATTCAATGTGAGAGACTCATTGAATCTTTTTTGGGGGGGTCCAAAAAATGCCGTATTATTCACGGAAAATGCAGATACATTCGGGTTAGTGTTGAGTTGTCTTTTGAATCGTTTGCTTTTTCACAAACCGTGAAAGCGGTTTGCGGTGCAAAATAAGGGGCCGCAGATCTTAAGACTTGGGTTTGTCACTGTGCTTCTCATTGTTTGACTTCACCCTTCCATGCGCCCCGCAAGCAGAAAACATGATAAGCCATCTACGGTAGTAACCGGTGTCCCAGAAATGGTGAAGCATTGCACAGATGGACTTGCCAGCAACGGGTCAAGCTCTCCCACTTGATCCGACGGTTTACCGTCACAATGTTTGCGAAAGATTAAATGAGTCGCACAGTGACGCAAAAATGAATGGCTGTGAACGTATACGCTTGGAGAAATGGCAACCGCAGAGTATTGCAACTTCCTTTCCATCTGTCTGATGTCCTTTTACTTACTCATCAGGCCCGATCGACTAATGTATGATAAGCAAAGTGTTCTTCTGTGTAACTCGGCCACTGAGAATTTTATCAAAATGGCAAATGTACGGAGCACACCTTTTGCTCGAAATTAAAAACCAGACGCCCTTTGTTGAAACGCCTTTCAATAATTAAGATTCCTTGCAACGTAAGTCTTTTTAGAATGTCTTTGTTGGACATTTCCCGCCTAAAATAACTTTCTATCATACTATCTCTGTCCATTTGTGTAGTTTTAAACTCGGCCTGCACCTTACTGCTTCAGGAGGTGTGCTCCATTTGCTTGCTTACCGCTTCACTTGGGAGCGAGCGCTACTATGTGACCATAAATTATTCGGGTGCACGTTATACCCATTTTGTGGCCACAAATTAAATTGGTATTCTGTGCGCATGTTCTTATATTTGCAGTATATTGTGGCCAGGTCATGCCAAGGGCTGCATATGGATGGAAGGGGGGAGAGTGGTGACGGTGGTGGGCTTGGATGAAAGTAAACCTGCATTTTTGTCCTGAAAACTTGTGCTGCCCTTTGCAGTTATGCGGCCTGGCCTTGATTGTGGTGGGAGTCCTGGTTCAGGTGTCCTTGCATCAAACCGTCATGATCAATGACGCATCGGCGTCAGGAGCGCCCATCGTCATCATTGCCGTCGGGGTGGTCATTTTCTTCATCTCCTTCTTCGGCTGCTGCGGCGCCTGGAAAGAGAACTACTGCATGGTCACCATGGTAACCATTTGCCCGATATTTTGCATTTCGCTAAACGACAAAAACGCTCTCGTGGTGTTTCACTGTTTTTTCCCATGTGTTTTTATTTCTCTCTCCGTAGTTTTCCATCCTTCTCTCATTGATCATCCTCGTTCAGATTGCGGCGGCGATCGCCGGTTACATCTACAGAAACAAAGTGAGCCACCAAAACATTGTTTTTGCTCAATCTCTGTATCAGACGTTCTTTCCAAATCTCCAGAATGTAAAATTTCCTTTTTTTCTATTGGTCTATTTTGTACACCACTCTCATGAGTCTATCCCAGGGAACTTCGTATGAAAGTCGAGGTACACTCTGGACTGATTGCCAGCCAATCGCAGACTCTAAATCATTGGTTTTCTACCGTTGTGAGCCTACCACCCGCATTTTCCCATTGCCGCCAATTTTTGAAGAAGTTCGGAACAATAAATAACATCTGTTGTTCAAAAATAGGCTTTGAAAGCATGTGCAATAACATTTTTCAACATAACTAGACGTTAACATGTTCAAAGTTCCTTTCAGAGTACTTGATTGAGAAACATTCGATAATGAACATGACCAAGTGCATGTGCACAAATGAATAGCTTGCCCTTGATCTAGACTGGGCGATAAGACTGAAAAATATATCAAGATATAACTATTTCATATTGGTCGACATTGATATCTATAGATTTTTTTTTTAACTCTTGAAAATTAATACTTTGCGGAAAACACCTTTTTAAATATAATGTACGATTGAAAAATGTCTCAAGTCTTTCCGATCAGTCAATATTGACAATTTTTGATTTCTTTTTTTTTTTCATCTATTAAAAATAATTCAATGAAATTAGCTATTTTTTTATCCTTTGTAATGTGCACTTTCTCCTCCACCAGGGCATTGTAAATGCTTATTTGCATTCGTTGCAACCCCAAAGCAGTTTTGTTGATTATTACATGAACCTTCATTCAATGTTGAGACAGTGTGAGTGTAGTGATCTAATGTACTCTGGCAATGCAGGCATGACCATTTGACCGACCGTCTTAGGTCGACTTTGTCTCTTTAGCGTACTCATGTTTGCTATAAATAGTCCAGACACATTTTATTTGTGTGATTTGGATTTGATCGTGATGCCGCGGATCGCATGCGGCTAACATTGGTGCTCGCACGTCAAAGACAGGGAACTCCTTTACCTGCACACCACGTCTCCATCCGGAGATGTTTAACCGGGTCGGTGTGCACAATATCATCCGCTCGGGTATGCCGCACGCACACTCCGTCGTAGGTTTAGCGGCGGCTTCTTCGTTGGTTGAACTGCTTCTTCGTTTTTGGCTTACAACACGCACAATACCGCGGTCGAGGTTTGCGCTCTCATTTTTTTTCGATGGAACATTTTATCGATTCTATTTTCTATTGATAGCTGTCACGTGTCTATCGCGATACATACCTACCCTGATCTATTCCTTTCAGGAAAACGCAACGTCAATTGGTTGTCGTCTTTTTTTAGGAAATGAAATTCGAAGACGAAAGTGACTCTTAAGTCTGCTATCAAAAAAATTTTATTTTATTTTTTTATGTGAGAGGTTGTTGAAATGCCTCTAGAAGTTGGCTTAACAACCCACGTGTTAATTTTTATGTCAGTCAGTCTGTTCAAATGTTTTTTTTTTTTCTAAATTGAAAGCAAGTTGGAACACATAATGCCTGAATCTTTCACTAACCTGTGCGAGCGCAAAACTAAATTACAGTAAATATTTGTTTGGAAAACGCTTCTGCACCATCGGAAACTGAGGACAGCCTGGAATGTCTTATTATTATTGTTATTATTAATTTAGTTTTCACCACCTGTCCAGCCAGGACCTACCATTTGTGAAGTACTGCTTTACATGGGTACTTCAAGTTGCTTGTTTTTCAGTGCCTTGGATGCCGCCCATTCCATGTTTCTTGCTCAACGTCAGCTGGGATAGGCATACGATAAAAATGGCCAAATAGATTTAGGCTTGCCAGTGGAATGAATGAATGATACGGGGATTTGATTGTATAACACGGCTTGTCCTTTTTAAACGTTCGTTTTGTCTCCCGCCAAGGTGTCTGACGTGGTCCAGGACAGTCTGGCGGACATGATCACCAGGTACAGCAACAGCTCGGCTGAATTCAAAGCCAGCGTGGACGCTCTCCAGGAGGACGTGAGTGGCATTATTGACTTAAACTCTGACTACACCCTGGCGCAGCGGCGCCGCATCCTGGGGCGTCGCCACCGCTTCCACGCCGCGTTGTTTGCCTTCGCATCCCGTGTTGTCCGAAGTCGACGTCGGTCACCGACGGGCCTCCTTTGTGTTTCCAGTTGAAATGCTGTGGCATGAACGGATCCTCCGACTGGCGAAACTTCCGGCCCGACGGGATCTCGGTGCCCGACTCGTGCTGTGTGAACGTGTCTGCCAATTGCGGCATCGGGGCCATGACCGACTCTGTCAAAGTGCACCAAGAGGTAAAAGTCCAATTAAGTATGACAATTTAAGTATGACTTTTAAGATGCTGGGTAATATGCCTTTGAAAAAAAGCACATCTCCTGTCATAAAAGGCCATTTTTAATCTTTGTGGGCTTTAATTTTTCTCCCCAACAACTTTTGCTTCCTACCTCTGTATATTAATGTTTGCATGACGATGCCAACATTAAAGCAGACAATATATTCCAGCAAGTTCAGCTTCAAACATATTTGCATAACTGAGATGAGCGTATAGACTTTTTGCAAAATATTGTTTTGTGCTGATCCTTTTTTTTTTTGTAAAATGCCTTGCCTCTACAGGTTTGGAAATTGTGTATTAGTCCACCAAAAACCATATGAATTGAAAATCATACTGTAGCTTGAGTCATGTTTGCTTCATTAATGATAAAAGCCTAAAAAACAAATTCATGGCATTTTAGTAGTGCTTGAAACGCTTGAAAGTTTTTGAAAGTCTTCGGCTGTGTGCTCACGGTTGGTGGCTTGCTCCGGTGTGCCCAATTTTGTCCCTGTGTGGCTTTTTTTTCCAGGTACCCTCGCTTCCTCACACATTTAAAAAACATTGAATAGTACTTTTTTTGGTCCAATAAATAAGAATAAAGGTCAGGAAAGGCTACTGAGTAGACAGCTGGTAAGTAAAGTAGGTTTGACTCGGCAACCGGCCGAACGTCTGACAACTCACCAGTTGACATTGTTGCAGGGCGCGCATGTGTTTCATGTTCTCGTCTTTGTTGACATTTTACATTTGACTTTTCGTTGACTACACTGCAGGCTGTGCCGGCAGCAGCGTGTTGCATACCTCATAGTGGAGGTAGCCGGAGAAAAGTCACACAAATGCGCAGACCTGTGCGACCCACTTGGCCAACAAACTACAAATGTGGGCCTCTTAAGTTGAACACTTAGCCTTATTGTACCGTCAGCCATCAAGCAGAAGAACAGCGAATTGTTTTGGCTGTCGCTATAAGTCGCTGGCATAGAGGAACGTGCATACAAGTTGTAAATACATTTTCTGACCATTTTCCATTTGAAACGTCTTGCCAATGAAGCCATTTGTTGACAAGCAAATGCAGAAAAATAGAATAGCGCCTAACTTTCCTCCCTGTTGTCCCTCAAGGGTTGTCGCACTGCGCTTGAGGAGTTACTGAAGAAAAATATCCTGTGGGTGATCATCGCCGCTCTTGTTCTGGCGTTTATCGAGGTACGTATCCACTGTGTGTGAACAATGTCCCAGGAGCCATTTGCGGTCCGCGTCATATATCAAAATGAACAATTGACACAGCCCTGATTACTACATGCTACTCCCAAAAAATGCGTAAAGCTGTAATACAGCTCTGGAGACCACTGCAAAGTGATCAGTTTCTATGGTTTTTCTATTGGAGGTATGTTTGAGTAAAATCTGCTCCCCCCCCCCCCCACACACACACTTTTCTCAGAATTACTGACAATATAACTCCAAAATACAAATATTCTCATTCAGAGAAATTATTGGCAGAAAATGACAAATGCTCAGTTTTCCCACACATACCATAAATAACTTTATTTTTGAGCACTTTAACAACCACATCTGTAGCAAAGTACTCTACATAAGACTGAACATAAACCACAATAAATGAAATGGTAATCATTAAAATACCATCCAGAAATAAATGAATATTCTTTTCCACTTCAAAAATATAACACGACAGCATTTGGCACCGATGAGGTCTGGCGTTTGATTCCCTCTCGCTGCACAGCTGAACGTGTTGTGAAGTTGTTTGGAAATGTGAAAGGGAACTTGATTAACGTCTCCGGTGATCAGTACGACGGTGCCCAATGCTGAAATTGGAATCTATTTCCTAGGGCAAAGAAGTTATAATTGCTCTCGGTATCTTTACGAACCCTCATGGATTAGGTTAAGCATGTTATTGAGTGTAAAGGTGATGTATGGTCCACAGCCCTTGCGTCCTTTCATTTTTCTGTTCGTGACCCTTAGAAGAAAAACTAAGTGGACACCCGCGAGATATAGAAAGTGACCAACGATTTCTCACATGGGCCCATCACGCCATCCAGATGCAAACATTGATTCTTAACTCGACTTGACTTTGCATTCTCTCCTCGTCCCCCCCCTTGTAGGTCATGGGCGTCGTGTTTGCCTGCGTGTTGATGCGAGGCATACGGAGCGGCTACGAAGTCATGTGAGTCGCTCGCCGTCAGCGATCACGTGGAAGACCACTCACTTGGCGGGCGCCTCACTTTCTTTTTGTAGTGCCCAGAACAATCTTTCAGTGGTCACGAGTGGTTGTGGTTTGATACACTCGTAGGCGTGCAACATCCATTTCTTCCTTTGACACGACACTGTCCGCTTCTTCTTGATAGTTGAGGATCTTGAATATCTTTGCTGTTGCATTAGAATTTGTGATGTTTTGTTTTTAAGGCTTGTTGGTTCCCAGTTTGTTTTTATTAAAGAACCTTTCTATCCAAATTGGTTTCACAACTGTATTTTTTTTTGGGACACGTTCATCTCAATATGGCACAGCAACACATCACTGAACAAGAGCAAATGTCCAACAAAAAAAACCCCAAAACAATTGCCTACAACCCATTTGAAATATAATCAGGCAGTCATTGCAAAAGGCACGAGTCATTAAATTATATTGAGATTCTATTTTTAACATTAAGTAAACTTATGTAAAGTGCCAATACTCATCAGTCGGCTTCACTGCAGGCCAAACAGCAGTTACGTTTTTACCACAACCAACCAAGTATTTTTTTTAAGTCCAGTCTGCTTTTGATCAACAGCTTTTTTTTTTCTCAATTACATTTTGATGTCTTCCCCTTGCATTCAGTACAAATGTTAAATAAAACGACAAAAATAACAGGAGTGCACTCACTGAGGTCTGAAAATGCAGCAGATATTTGAACATACTGATACATGCAAATGGAATGTGTCTAAACAATGATATCCACCTTAAACGGATGTCATTTCACCTTAATTTTGATGAAGCAAAAGCAGTGATGCGTTTCCAGCGATGAGCCAAGTTTCAGCACGTGAAATGTGTAAACTGCACTCCGCACAGCCAGCGTAAACACCTATCAAACACCGACAGATTCTGAATACTATGTGGAAGCTTTTATGCGAACTCTGCAATTGTAGACTATTTTTCATATCTAAATCTGAAACTCTCTCAAAGAAACCCATATTTTGAAATATTTTCCTCATCAGGAAAAAACTGATGCTCTCAAGTGGTGTGCACCGAAGCAGTAGGGAGGGGCTGCCGTTAGGGGTGGTGAATACCATTCGGGTCACTGGCAGAGAGTAACACGAGGCAGTGCAAGAGGAGTGACAGATCAGAGTCTGGGGAGCAAACAGACAATAAAAACAAACTGTTGAAACGGCTTACAAATGGTCAGCCATCTTGGAAATGGTTAAGACACGTTCATGGTTGAATAGTCACCAGAGTTTTGTTTTTTTCTCCCCTATCTTTTGGCACCATCTTGTGTCATTTCAGAAAAGTACAACAGCACTGTCTAAATATGGTCCAGTGAAGCATGTTGAGGCGATACTACAGGATCTTAACGATGTGACAAGCCTTGTATGTTGGAGAGGAGCTAAATTTAGCTTGAGTTGCGAAAGAAAGTATGTACAGACTCATTAAATGCGTTGCTTTTTAAAATCAAATCTGTCAACTATTTTGAAAGATAATGTAAGAGGAGATGAAAGTAGTTGTCTGATCACACCAAGATGCCACAAAAGATACCAAAGCAATATTTTGATTAGACTTGGCTTTGTCCTGTGCACAAAAAAAAGGATTGGAAGAAAAATTATCCTGGTTGTTAACGTTAAGTTACCTTTGAGGGAGGAGGACATCTGAAGCCACTGGTACAACCACACTCGGCACTGGTTGATGGCGAGACGATCAGAGTTGAGTCCCCTCACGTAGCAGGCCTGACAGCGAAAGAAAGGCCGACTGTGAGTTGCTGCCCTTCGAACACGGCACACGTCGCCTGGCCCGATGTCAGGGGTTGGTTGCACCTGTCTGACTTCCGAGTCGCTGAGCTGGTGTGGGCCCAGCTTGCTGAGGGCTCGGTCCAGCTGGAGCAGCTCCAAGGCATGACTGGTCAGCCGCCGGCCGATCAGGAAGCCGGGGAGGCGAGGCGTCAAGAAGAGCAGGGGGCTTATGTTTCTCTTGAAAGTTTTTAAAAAAATCACAGGCAATCATGTTATTGCACTAGAGGAGGCCTCCATCATACTGCATTTTTGTACATTCGTTTGTGATGCCGATATTAAAAGGCAGATTAGGTCACTTAAGTACCCACGAAGGTCCATGTCCCAAATGCACTGCCAGCCACTGACAAAAAGTGTACAAAATTGAATGCAATGTACTCTCAATGAAATTGTTGTCAAACTTTCTGTGCCTGAAATGTCTTTTTTTTTTTTTAAGGCAATATTATCTTTTTTTTTTAAGCAATATCATTACAATATTTATGAGCGTGAAACAACTAAACCTTTACTGACCATTTGACCCACACTCAGCTTGCTCATGCCCAGCGGAGTCCCCGAAAATAGGCTTCGCACTGCAAGGACTTCCGACACTTTGGGGTTTGCTCCATTTTGCACCTGAAATATAATTTAAAAAGAAAAAACACAAAAGTATGTTGTTTTTGCTTTTTGACTTGATGTTGTCTGTCAGGCGCATCACCATTGAGGGCCTACATCAGCCAATTGCGTTTTTCAATTTCTAGACAGGATCGTGTGTGTGTGTGTGTGTGTGTGTGTGCGCCTTCAATGCTTGTCTGCAGGTTGTAGGACAATTGCCTCTGCCACAACCCGACCTGCAATGACTGCCACACAAATATTTGCATACACGGTGACGTGCATCCAGAATTATTCACAATGCTTCAATTCTACATGTTTTGTTATGTTAAATTTTACACACAATACCCCGTAATGTCAATGTGAAAAAAGCAGATTTTTGCAAATTCATCACAGATAAAAATTAAGCAATCAAATGTACCGTAAAGCCCGCTATACACCCTGTCTTATATTCATCGGCTAAAGCATGAATATAATTTAAATCATTTGATCGCAAAACAATTTAATGTTTCAGTTTATCTGACAACAGTAGAGGTTTGACTGTCAGGTAACAGCCAATCGCGGTTCATGTGACGTTCGCAAGCTGAAACCTGAGTACTTGTCATGACATTTTTAGCTTACAGCAAGTGGTAAAATGTGTTTTGAAGGGTGTTAGTTACACAGGCAAAAAAATTAAGTGATCAAACTGTTTATGACAAAATATTTTTTTTTACTGCTGAAAATGGAAAAAACTAGTAAAGTATCCCTTTAAGATGGGAGTGGCATGAAACTGCCAAACTGCTGTTTGTTGTGAAGTTAGCCGAGTTCGTTGCAATGCTTGTTTCTCAAATTTTTGCTCATAGGTCGAAACAAAACACATTTTTAATTGGCCAAGTGACGGCTGATATCTGGAAAAAACCCCGCAAGTTGGCCACTTATATGTCAAGACATTACTGAACTTGTCTCAAGTCTCCTCTTTTCAAATGTAATCCCAGACGCTTGGCACGTGATCTGGCCGCTTTCGCTCACCTCTCAAGCTCCTTCAAGTTATGGGGTTTTGTGTGCAGAATTTTAAGGCAAAAAGAAAGAAAACAGAATGTGGCTGTGAAGAAAATGTGGAGGGAAAAAAGTTCTGCGTCTCCTTTCCCAATGCAGTGCAAGTACCTGAGAGCACAGGCTGTCGAGGCGACTCCGTAGCTGAGAATCTTTCACCTGGCCGCCGGCATGCTGCAGGCCAAGCAGGACTGGCCGGTGCTGTCGCGCCCGAATTGAATGGTACAACTGGCGAAACTCCACCTGCTGCTTCGGAGTCCAGAAATGTGGGATCAGCACCTGGCGGGGGAAAAAGTACCTGGTTTTGGGGTGGGGTGGAGGGGTGATGGGGATACAATTGTTCAATCCGACAAATGTTTTAAGGGCCTTCTGTCACTTGGGAGCGGGACTCACATCAAGAAGAAAACCAGGTAGTTGGCAAAGGGAGGGATGGAAATCAACACTAGTGGGATGCCTTTCAGCATGTCTCGGCGAAACTGAGCCACACAAACACAAACACACACACACACACACACACACACACACACAAAATAGCACAGACATCATAATGCTGCAAAGTCTTCAGTTTGAATGGTGGTCATGATGGTGGCACTTAAGAGTTTTTTTTTTTAGGTGGTACTTAAAAAGTTTGAGAAGCTTCAACCAACTCACCTGTCTGAGTTTCTCCATTTCCCTGTAGGACAAATCTTGGAACTTGACTCCATCACTAAGCATCTTTGTTTTGATTCTGCTGACGTCTTTGGCATCTCGGAAAAGAAGCTTGAATCCTCCACGGGGCGGGGACATTGAATTGGGGTAAAATAACCAAATTGTCATATCATCGACTTGATGTGCACCCCTTTTGATTACAGCGGCGAGTGAGCAGTAGCCTATCCCAGCTGACTTGGAGGTGAGATGTGGTACACCCTTAACTGGTTGCCCACCAATCACAGGGCACATATAGACAAACAAACAACCATGTTCACACCTACAGACCCTTGAATTTACCTTTAAAAAAAATTGGGGGCGGTGGGTACTCCAGCAAAGATGCAGATACGGACAGCAGGAATTTTCATATCTCCAAAACCATTATTTTATTTAATTATTTTTTAGGATTTTTTTAATGACTTTATTGGTGAGATATTAAGACCTTTCAGGAATTTTCATATCTCCAAAACCATTATTTTATTTCATTATTTTTTAGGATTTTTTTTTAAATGACTTTATTGGTGAGATATAAAACCTTTCAGTGTTAAAGTTCTCAATCTATTTTCAACACTTTTGATTGAATAATATTTTTAAAATAACAGTCAATGACCCATGTGGGCACTGAGCAATAATATCAATTTGAGGTTTTAGAATTCTGCTCAAGAGCAACAATTAGGATTCAAGGATTATGTTTCTGATCAAATAAAAATGGGAGAGAATTACAATGTGCAATGTTTACAAAGCAAAGCTTAGAGTCCAATTAAAATTAACTACTAAGTCAAATGTCATCCATCACAAGAAAAAAAACCACAAATATAGCTAAGATACGTCATCTTCACACAGTCACAGCTGCTCAAACATGAACTAAACTACATGCTGGATAAGCATTTAATCGAGAAGACAGTAAACATTTCCAGATTGGTGTGGATCCACATAAAATAATTTATGAGTTACCTATGTACAGATAGTGGGTGAAAAGTGGATAATGTGGTTTGCGCAAGAATGAGGATGACTCCCTTCAACGAGGTCGTGACTTGATTGTTTGCATTTTGCACCTGAGGTAAGTCTTGAGACTTCCTAAATAAATGACTTGCACATACAGTTAAGTGACTTTCTCCCACCATTTTAACCTCACCTTCCACGAAAGTATGGTAGAGCAGATAAAAGCGTGGAAATCGCCTTTTGAGGAAGCCTTCGTATTTGCTGTTGACCCACTGCAGCCTGGACGTCACATAGCGACCAATCCCTCGTCGGACTTCGGAAGACGAGTAATGTCTACACATTGCAATTCAAGAGGGGGAACAAGAAGTCATTCGTAGTGCAACAATCTTGAAAAATAAGGCATGCACAATACTAAATAAAAATACATTCAAATATAATTAAGCGTAAAGCGATGAATTGCTGCAAGCTGTCAAACTCGGCAGGTCGGAAGTGTCAACAGACTACGAAACAAAAAAACTGGTCAAGCGAGGACAACATCTATCAACGTTCAATATTTTGGAACAAACCTGGACTGGTGACACACACACTGTCCGTACAGTCCATTGGCAATTTGGTTTGTTCTGACACTCCACAGTCGAATCAAAGACAAATTGTTGGTGAGCCTCGAACAGGACAGCGCCATGTCTGAACGAGACAACTTCCGCGTCGTTACCGTAATGGCGGAAATGCACGGAAACAACACCCACAAAAGATGTGAGCT